TCTGAATTGGATGGAATGTTCTAAATATAATGAGGATGAATAAACAGATGAAGTGCTTCAAGGATAAGAAGAGAACATTTGTGGGAAGCTAAGCAACGGCTTCTCTTTTAGATCCTTATATATTTTAAAGAGCATATAAAAAGACAAATTTCATAAGCTATATTCTTCACTACCTCTATCATCTCTACCTATAAAAAATTTGACTATTCTACCTCTTGTTTTTCAATCCACTCCGATAGAAGGCATACATGGCTGCAGTATGAGTCTCCTATGTTTAGTTAAAAGAGCTAAGAATACTAATTGCCTGTGCAATGAGCTAATAACGTCAGCATCTCCAGATCTCTTCATATTCTTTTTCACATGTAGAACAATCACAGGAAGGTATTTTAACAAACTAAATTCACTGAAGCTATTACTGATCATCTTTCCTAAAGAATGCGTACAGTAGCTTTGGAGTTGTAAAGAAAATATCACATTTTTATATCAGAGTTATACCTGATTACAGAATCATTGCGCATGAAGGTAAAGCAGAGATTCTATAATAATTATTTTAAATGAGCTTAGCTATAGAATTAATAAGAACATTTAAAAAGTCATCTGCTGAGGCTGGGTATAGTGGCTCGTGCCTATAATTCTAGCATTTTGGGAGGCTGAAGATGGCAGGATTGCTTCAGTTCAGGAGTTCAAGACCAGCCTGAGCAAGAGTTGAGACCCGCATCTCTGCTAAAAAGTAGAGAAAAAAACTAGCCAGGCATTGTGCTGAGTGTCTGTAGTCTCAGCTACTCAGGAGGCTGAAGCAAGAGGATTGCTCAAGCCCAAGAGTTTGAGGTTGCAGTGAGCTATGATGATGCCATAACACTCAACCTAAGGCAACAGAGTGAGACTATGTTAAAAAACAAAACAAAACAAAACAAAAAAACAGCATCTTCTAACTTTGGGAACACTTTGTAACCATATGGAGTGGAAAAACCAAATTCACCCTGCATACAACAAATTAAAAATCAGATAAATCAGTTAGAGGAACAACAAAAAATACTTCCAAGAGAAAATAACACACTGCATAAATAGAGCTAAGAATTCCCATTAATTTTTAAAAGA